TGATTAACCCCAACAAAAAAAACAAAAAAAGAAAGAAAAAAGAAAGTGCTCCTAGATGTCATTCATGCATTTTAGCACAATTTAATTGACTTATTCATGATAAACAGTTTTTTGTCATGAAAGAATGAAATGTGGTATTACTTAATGCTTGTCCTGCAACTTAACATAGCCCTATGTAAAAGATGAGTCCAATTTTCTTGTTACCAAATTCCCTGTGCCCCCTTATTTCCCTTTTAGTTTTGCGACATGTGGCACACAACTTAACAGGAGTTCAACTCTGTTAACTCTCTTTTCGCTTTTTTTTTTCTTTAATTTTAAATAGGGGCATGCAAGATCCAATCCAATCCACCCAAACCGACTGATTCAATCCAATCCAATCCAATCCAATCCAATTTTAATCGGTTTCGATGATTTGGCGGATAGAATTGGTGTAACATCCCTGACACAATTTAATCGATTTAATCCAATTTAATTCTTTTGTAAAATTACAATTTTGTCCTTGGGAGTTAGGGTCATTTTGGTCACCTTTTAATCCGGTAGGATTTTGGGGAATTGGGTGGCACTGTTGCATAGAGCTCGTCGCTACGAGTTCGTAGGCACGCGACACGCTCAATTCCGAGTTGTAACAAACCTAGAAAGGTCAAAAAATTGAGAGGACGTATAGGTAATTCCGAAAATTTGTCCAAAAAACCCTAAATACCCGATCAGTCCTCTCTCTCTCTCTCTCTCTCTCTCTCCCGACTTTCTCTCTCCTCCCTCTCTCTCTTCGTCATGATACCGCCATTTCAGACGGCTTTTCTGGCGCCGTTCGACCACCAAATTCGACGCCACAACTTCCAAAATTCTCCTCTCCTCCTTCTCTACACAGCCCACCTAATTTCTAGGATCGATTTCGTGCCGTGTAGCGACTGGAATGCGGGGAAAATTCGCGATTTTTCCTACACCGGCCAAGGCGTTTCCGGCAATCAAAACAGTCGAGTGAGGTATAGTTTTTCATCCTCTTAGTGTGTTCTTGATGTTTTGATAGTTGGTTTGGATCGATTTGAAGCCGTGAGCGTTTGATGAGAAACCTAGGTTTTGTCAGACTTTTGTAGCGTTTTCTGGCCAGTTGTATAAGTTGCTTCCCTAGTTGTCCTGATCACATAGGTTTAGGTATTGTTGGGTGATTTGAGAAATTTCCATCATCGGAAATTTCTCAAGCCACCCACATGCTGCCCGCGCTTAGGCCATGGTGTGGTGGCCCGTTGTGTTCTTATTTGATCCACATGTTGTTTCGAGCGTGAAGGTATGCTCGGATTCGAATTTGGTTATCGTTTGATAGTCAAATAGATTTACGCCTATTAGGTGATATCTGGGTCCAATATGCTTGAACCGTTGGATCAGCTCCAATTCCAAGTATGTTGTTCTCTATACCTCTAGGATCGTGTAGGAATTCATGGATTGAGAATCGGAGTCCCGGACACTTCGAATCCATGTTCCAAGTTTAGGCTAAGCAATCGCCGTTCGGTCGTGTGATTGGCTTAGATCCGACCACTCGATCGAGACCAAACTTATAGGACGTGTTGAGTAGGCTTTGTTGAACCACTGGGAACTTTTGGATCGAAAATTGGAGGTTGTGGGCCCTGCGAGCCTGATTGACCAATATGAGAAGTTTGACCCCTTGGTTGACTGTGAGTCTTCCGAGCTAAACCCTTCGAAAGTTACTAGAATGACCTTATAAACGAGTCTTGGTTGTTATTTGAGTTATTTTGATTATGTTGGGTTTATGAGATTATTTTTTAGTATTTTATGGAATTATTGGTTATTATTAAAATATATGGATTGGGTGATATGGGGTTTGATTATGAAAGTGTTTTATGGATTGTCTTGCATATTTATATAATTTTGATTATTTTGATTATTGAGACTATGAATATTTTGGGTTGTGGAGTTTATGATTTTGGGAGTTTGATATCTATACTATGAATAAATATGTGGGTATATTGGAATATTGAGAATTTGGAAAAAATTGAATTAAGGGATGATATATATATATATAGGTTTGTGAAATGCACCATCATATGTACCTCCCCGGCACTTGGATACTAGAAACAATGGTTACTTGGAAACATTGGTTACTTGATTACTTTGGAATCCGGCCACCTTTGATCGGGTGTGTCGTAGGCCTTGACAGGCAGTCTGCGCACGTAGGACTTTTCACAGTTACACGAGTATTGAGGATTCTGCTATGTGGTCTGGTGAGCCCAGTCCCCCGGTTGGATGGCCTATTCCTTAGCTACATGGTTATTGAGGATTCTTTCATGTGGTCTAGTCAAACAATCCTCGTGTTGGATTGTTTTCCCCCGGTGCATGATGTGCACTATCATATGTACCTCCCCTTAGATACTAATACTTGGAAATAGTGGATATGGATAATTGGATACATGGAAATGGATACTTGGATATGTCGGAACCCGGATACCCTTGGCGGGTTGTTGCGTAAGCTATTGGCCGGGCAGTCTGCTTACGTAGGACTTTTCACAAACGCACGAGCATTGAGGATTCTGTTGTGCGGGCTAGTGAGCCTAGTGTCCCAGTTGGACGGCTCGTTCCTTAGCCACATAGTCAATTGAGGATTCTTCCATGTGGTTTAGTTAAACAATCCCCGTGTTGGATTGTTTTCCCCTGGTACATGATGATGGCGTGGGGTGTGTATGTATGTATGTATGTATGTATATATATATATGTGGGAAAATGTGTAGATTTGTTTCCGGGTTGGGGTTTCTCGAGCATGTGCATGGTGAGTGCTCTGCACAGGTGCGATCATTATTATGATGTTTGGACAGTGTTGTTTTGCAATATACGCCTCGAATAGGGTATGGTTGCGGGAAATGGTTTTGAGTTATGAATCATGGGAAGAAAGGAATTTATAAAATATTTAGTTATATGCCTTGTGGAAATTGAAGTTAATAATGAATCTAAATTTAAATGTTGACTTTACTTGGACGATATCTGTATATTTTCCTAATTTTGATACTCCTTTGGAATTGTGGAATCTTGTATAGACTTAACTCGTGTGTTTTGTAACATTAATCGGACTTTCTCATGTTTGGATAGACAGGCACCTCGGAAAAAGGCATGTTCGTTGGGAAGGTTAGTTGTATGTGGTGTACGCTATCTTGTGGCTGCATATATATGTTGGACCATATTGTGAAATTGTACCATATCTTGAGTATATAGATTGCAGCTTAGCTTGTTTTTAGTTGATTATTAAAAAAACGGTAGCTACAATAATTTTGTTTACTGTGAATCGTGGCGGATAATTCACTTATATAGGTTGATAGAGAATGACTATAGAAGTTTTGAATGTTATGTGCGTGTGATGCTGATTATTGATATAAGAAGTAGGTAGCCTGGGGTTTAACCTAGGTGCAGCCGCAAAATAAACTGTTCGAGCTGTGCTTGTATTGTTCTAAGTGTGGAAATGAATTTTCGAAGGAGAAAGGTTTTTTCTGATTGCTATTACGATATTTGATACAGGTGTATGGATTTACAAAGGAGTTCAAAAGCAAGAACGTTTTAGAAAATGTTTGGTTATGAGGCCGGAGGCCTATTTGTTTGTTGTGTGTGACGTACTTTGTGCATGCTGAAGTTTGGTGATTTTAAACTATGTTTTTAACAGGTTGAAAAATTTGATAAAGTCCGTTTTTCAGGGGAGACTCTACCGAAATTTCAGTAGAAGTCTCGGCCTTCTTTTCCTTTGTTTTAGAGGAAAAGGATGTTTGTAATTAGTAAGTGGGCCAACCATCGGTTGGATGTCGGAAAAACCACAGGATCTGTCACAGATTCTGAGGAATTCGACGTGGGTCCTGTCAATTGGATCCCTAAGTTTCAAAATCGACATGATTGGATCGAATGGTGGATTTGCTCATGAGGATCCAATCAAATCAAATCCAATCCTATCTAGTTAGTTCCATGCTTATTTTGCTCATTACGTAATTTTCATTAAGAAAGTTATAAAGATTTTAAGTAATATGATGGAGTTATGTTTAATATATTATAAAATCAAAATAATTTTCTCTAACATTTCATAAATGTTTCATATTTCAATATTATCTTTTTCCATTATGAAAATCGATCATCCAATCCAATCCAATCCAATATCAATTGGATCAAATCGAATTGGATTTAAACCTCTAATGTGATCGGATTGGATTGGAAAAATCATGATCCAATCTATATTGGATTCGATGCGGATTGGTGAAATTGTATTGGTTTTGAACCAATGTATCCCCCTAATTAAAAGAATTAAAATATATTAGATTAGAATACACTTTTGACAAAAACACGTTTGCATGCCGCTTCATCTTCTCCACTCTGCAAAACTCAGTGGAGATACTTGTATCTATACTAGCAAAACTCGACCCCTACATCTATTTCATTTGTTGGCCGCTAGTTGGTCAAGTAAGCCAAACTCTGCTTTCTAATTTTCCCCCTTTTTGGTTGCTGGTGTTGGAATCATCGCACAAGAAGCTTTTAAATGATTGATTTGCGATAATCAAATACCCATTATGCAATTCATTTGGTTTCAATATTTTTTTTCCTGAAAAATAGAAGGAATCGCTAGTTTAATTTTATGATAGAGACAATGATGATTTGCTTACCATTGCTGACTTGAGATGACAGACTCCTTTTCCCTCACCATGTTTAATTTTCTGTCGACTTGAATCGTTTCGACATCCTTGTGGCTGGATTTAGGGCCGGCCCTGACTTTTGGGTGGCCCTAGGCGATAAACTAAATGAGGCCCCTTCCCTTAGTATACAATTGAGAAAAAACAAATAAAATGATTTTATGTAGAGCATAACGCGTGAATAAAAAGGTAGAATGCATTATAATAGGACATATCTCCATAAAAAAAAATTCAGATTAGATATTTAATATCATGAATGAAATTACAAATTTACAAACCAACATTCCAGCAACCAATAATGGGAACATGTCAAGATACATTAAAACTAAGTATTTGTTCAAAATACTAATCTGGATCACAAAAGCAGCTTTGAAAACAACATATGAAATGGTTGCAGTAAATTTGGACAGGTCCAAAATCTGCCTGGAGCCTTCTTCCTCCCAAACAGGCAGCCACTAAGAGATCCACACCCCATTACAATGTGCAAATATTCGATGCTTTCCCTTTATCAAATACACAAATAGCTGGTTGATTTCCTTTGCACCATCTACAATCCAAAAAATAAAAATAGTAACATTAAAAGTACAATCAATCACTGAAAAATCCTTGATCTTCTAGCATTTTGAGAAGCAAAATCTTCAATAACATCTTCAAAATCAAGCTTTTCCAACATATTCTTTTCAATGCATAAGATTGCCAATCCATTCAACCTTTCTTGTGACATAGTTGAACGCAAGTAAGATTTTATTAATTTTAATTTTGAAAAACTTCTTTCTGCAGATGCCACAGTCACTGGCACAGTCAATATGATTCTATAAGCAACCGAGACATTTGGAAAGCAATCTACAGATTTTACATAATCAAGAACTTGAATGGCTGTCTTTGCCTCTTGTGGTAAATACAATCGTAAAACTTCCAATTCAGAACACAAATCATCAGCATTAATATCAGATTCATTGCCATGTGTTAAAGCATTTTCAAGATTAACACAACATTCATGCAACATTTGATAATTCATTCCAAATAACTTTTTAGGATTCAACAAAAAACCAAAAATACCTTCAAATATTTCTAATTGTTCAAATCTACTCCTCAAAGAAGAAATAACAGCATCAACCACAACAAGAAAATAATTACCAACCTGATTCATTTTCATTTGTATCATTTTCTCTCATTTCTTCCCCATTATTTTCATTCTCAACATTTGTATCAATTTCTATCATTTCTTCCTGCTTATTTTCATTCTCAATGGGTTCACCACCCTCATTCAGTTCATTTATATCATTTTCTATCATTTCTTCTAGATTATTTTCATTCTCACTAAGATCACCAACCCCTTCATTAAGTAAATCATCAGCTGAATCTTCAATTGAAGAATTAGTTTTAAAAAACTTATCAAGAGCTCCTTTTTGAGTTTGAATCATTTTTTCTATTTTTCTCCTTTTATTTCTTTTTGCACTTCCAGATTCATGTTTCCTAACCATTTTTCTAGTGCAACTCTTAAGTCTAGAAAGTGAAAAACAGACAACCAATGAACAAAACAAACACACCAAACACAACCAGCAAAGCAAACACAACCACAGCAAACACAACCAATGAACTAAAGCGTTACCAAAAAAAATTTAAAATTAAGTAAACAAAGAGTAAAACCTGGTTAAAGCTTATATAAAAAAGCCTCAATCTTGCAGAGCTTTATTCAGGCTAGCTGTGTTGAAACTAAAATTTGAGAAACTCCACTCTGTCCCTCCACCTGATTCATGTACATCTGCAATGATAAGATACATACAATTCAATCAAGTATTCATAAATCTGATTACCACTCCGTATCTCTCTGTGTTTTGTTCCTATTGGAAATTGAAACAATTGAAACAATGGTTTGCTGGGTAGGAACAAATATAAAGAAAAAAAATTATAAATCTGATTACCTTTTCAATTTCTCATGCTACTCCCCTCTTGGTCACCGTCAATCTCAAAGACAAAGACAATTTGTGAGCTTTTTGGTGTGAGATTGATTATTAGGGTTACAATATGATATGAGAAAAGAGGGATGAGAGAAACTGAAAATAAAAGCTATGGAATGGATTGAAGGGAGATGGAGAAAACAAAGAAAAATATGGTGGTGGATTATCCACCGATCGGTGGATTAAATAGAGTTCTATGGAGTAAGAACTAGGAGAGGGCTGTTGCTCGCTGCGTAGGAAACGAGGGGCTTCTGACTTGATGGGAAGAGGAATCGTCTATCTGTGTTTTTTATTTTTTTTATTTTTATTTTAAATGTTGGACAATAATATATATATAAAAATTTGGGGCCCCCTTAATTGGAGGCCCATGGCCAAGGCCCTTCTCGCCTACCCCCAAGGCCGGCCCTGGCCTGGATTGTCTATCTGGTGTTTCTTTCTTGATCAATTTAAATGTATTGTTGCTATATTTGACTCTCCATGCATTCTCTGTTTCTTTGCATGGGTAGTTTAATTTCTCTGTATTGGCTCCCTATTTTGGAGCTTCTTGTACTACGAATTCAAGATCCTTTCAAACCAAAAAAAAAAGAAGGCAATTCTGGAAATTTTTTTTTTGGTGTCCAGAGACGTTTTTGTGGTGTGCATCAGAAGCTAATCACCCTTATGTATGTTGTTTTTCTATGATTATGTGGTGGGATGCTTTCATTTGATATTTTGGTTAGGAATCAATGTAGAATTTTATATGCTTTTGTAATTTTTAATCCAATTGTTCCTTCACAAGGCTAAGCTAACCATTATATCTATATTTACATATTGGTGATGTCATTCAAGTCATTTATTATCTCAATGGTACAAGACTGGATTAAAGCTTCTACTATCACTACTAAAGCCACTGTGAACGCACAGGTTTTTCTTGCTTGGAGCCCTTTTGTTCATGGTACCTTCAAACTCAATGTGGACGGCTCTTGACGGGCTGCTTCTGGATGTATTGGTGCTGGAGGGGTCCTTCCAAATTCTCTTAGAGAGTGGAATGGAGGTTTTGCAATTAATTTAGGGATAGGCCAAGTGCTGGAGGTTGAACTTTGAGGCCTTCTTTTTGGTTTGAAGCTTACTACTGATATTAGAATGTCTAAACTCATTATTGAGATGGATTCTGCTATTGCAGTTCAATTAATTCAACAACACAATCTTCTTTTCCTTCATCCTTTTGTTGCTTTGGTGTCCAGTTGCTTGGGGATCCTAAACACCCACCAAGGGGTATATGGGAAAACCATCATATCCGAAGGCAACAAAGGATGGGGAAGCTAGCTAACCACATGTGTAGATGATATGAGCAAGGTGGTGAATAATATCATGTTAACTGCACCACACATTGGTACTGCCCTAATCTCCGCATAGATGTACCTCAAACATAATCCATCAATTCCATGTACAACACATTGTGGCCACATGTGTGATACATCCTCGCAGAACTCGGGGGACACGAAGTTAGCCCAAGACGCATTCCTTGCAGAACTCAGGGGACCCATGGTCGGCCTGAGACGCATTCCTCGCAGAACCCAGGGAAATACACTCAACTTGAGAACACAAATCCTCGCACCACATGGTTCGGGCATCCCCGATACTCATGGGGCAATGTCATACGCGCGTAGACAAATCCGTCAATTCCCCTCGCAGGACTCAGGGAGATATACTCAACATGAGAATGCAAATAATCCGTCAATTCCCCTTGTAGGACTCAAGGAGATATGCTCTCAACCTGAGAATGCAAAATAATCCGGAGGCAACCATATGTCCGAAGACATTCTGAAGGCAACTATATGTCTGAAGACATTAACATTTCCGAAGGCAACCAGGATGTCCGTAAACATCAATATTTCCGAAGGCAACCAAGATGTCTAAAGACATCAATATTTCTGAAGGCAACCAGGATATCCATAGACATCAATATTTCTGAAGAAAACCATATTTTCGGAGGCAACACAATCCAATTATTAATCCATTTAACATATATATAAAAATAAACACATATATATCATGCTTGGAAAGTAAAAGCGATAGAACAATAATTCACAAAAATTTAATAAAACTCTCAGAGCAAAATACCAACTTAAAATCAAACAACCAAGCCCCAAGCACCTCCCAACTAATTGGTCCCGGTCAGACATGCGAGGCCCACCATCTAGGTCAATTAGGCCCCTGGGCCCACGACCTCTGATTCCCGATCCGAAAGTTCCTATAGGTCCAACAAAGTTTATTAAACAAGTCCTGAAAGTTTGATCTCGATTGAGCGGTCGGATCTAAGCCAATCACACAATCGGACGACGATCATTTCGCCTAAACTTAGAATCATTGACTCGGAGTATCTGGGGCTCTGATTCTCGATCAACAAGTTTCTATACGATCCTAGCGGTATAGAGAGAGCAAGGTTTAGGCCAAAACCTATGCCAAAAGGTTCAGACTAACTAGGGGATCAACTTTTGTTCTTGGACCACAGCCAAAAACTAGTCAGAACTTGCGGAATTGAAGCTGAAACCGTCGACTAAAATGGGTATATTGAACGATTTGTAAAACCTCAAAATTGCTCCAAGATACCAGCATAGACAACTAGAGCATGTGGAGGGGATGAAGATTCATATCTAGATCGATTAAATTCATCGCCGGAATCGCCGAAAACGGCGACTAAAGCTCGAAACTCCCGGAACTTTCCGAGCTCGTCACGGCGGCGTGACGGCTTGAGGTGGCTAGGCTTCAGCCCAAATGTCACGGTGGGAGAGAGAGAGAGAGAGAGAGAGAGAGAGAGAGAGTTGGGGTATTTAAAAATCTGACTTTGGAAAAATTACAATTGTGCCACGACACTTCTGCAGACCACAACTCCTTTGTTTTAACTTCGAATTGAACATGTCGCCTGTCTATGAACTCGTATCATTGAGCTCTATGCAACGGTGCCACTCAATTCCCCAAAATCCTTCCTGAACAAAAAGTGACTAAAGTGCCCCTACATCTAGGGGCAAAAATGTAATTTCATAACAAATAATCAATTGAACAGTGATTTTTGGGACGGGATCATTGACTATGTATAGGAGAAACAGTAGCTAACAAAGTGTACGTAGATTTCTCTTGAGGAGAACCCCGGGTGGGCGGAGCCTTGTTTGTGTGAGAGAGAGAAAGAGAGTGTGGCGTCTAGGGTTTGTAAGAGGGGATTTTTGCAAAATTTCAGACACACCTCAAACCTTGTGCGTAGCCATGTATTTATAGGAGCCTCGGAGGCTAGGGTTTCGGAAGAATAATTCCAATTATGGCAAGGATCCCCAATTTAGTCAAATAATTCCCAAAATTGATTGGATTAATTATTTGACCTAGGATCTGTGAATATTTTCCTCCACGATTATCATCAACACATACAGACTCACTAACCTCATAAGCACGATTAGTGGTTGTTAGGAGCACTTGAGTTGGTTCTTCACTCGCTTTCTCCTTCAAAAATGCATCCACCTCTACCAATGTACTACTAAGTCCAAATATAGCAATTTGATAGGCTTTGTTTTTTGACGTTGTTGCTCGTGTTACTAGTTGAATGTACAATCGACATAGCTCTCAATAAAGTTTTACGATTTCTACCTTTCTGTTATTTTCATTTGAGATCTTGCATGTAATTGTTGCACTCTTAGCCTCGATATTTTCGTCCATCTCTTCAAGTTGTACCATGCTGATATACTCTAAATATTTTTTTGCAGAAATAACCTTTAAGGCATGTGCACACAAGATTTATGCAAACTCATATTTCTTACAACTGCATAAAATTGTATTAAGTCAAATATGATTGCATGGTGCCAATACTTAATATGAGGGATAATTTCATATTTGTTGACACTTCCAATCTCACCAATCAAGTTCAAGACGCAATATTGAGCTTTACACAACTCATCTTGAAACAATTTAAACACTTCTAGTGTATATAGAGGTTATGCATATTTTAATATTTCACTAGAAATATTATTGTAGTGAAATTTTGACTAGCTATAAATTCAGCTTTCAACTCTTAATAATAACGATCTTCAACCAACTTTCGAAAATGTTGAAAAAATCGTAGCAAATCGTATTCGTAACTAACATACTTCTTTATAGCACAATTCATCCTTTCACTACATTGGGTAGTAGTAATATCAGCCCAATTTTTTTTTCGCCTATAAACTAATGCCCATTTCTCCTTTATATCAAACAATTGGCTCACCCACTCATTGTTTATGATATTATACTTTTTAAGCACGCTATTCCAGGCATTCAGAAAATCATCTTCATCTTCATAATCATATATGCAGCCACGAAAGTCTTTGGTAAAATCATTGAACTTCTCAAAAACACCACTAAGGTGCTTGGCTGCATTTTGGTATATGTGCCAAATGCATAACCGGTGGCATGTTTCTTGCCACTTTAAGGCCCCGTTTGGTTCACGGAATGAATTTGATGGGAAATCATTTCCCATGTCATTTCCCAAGGGATGGGAAATGGTGATTCCTTTCCCATGTTTGGTAATGCCAGGAAAGTGACCCGGAAATATCACTTTATTTCCTTTCCCATGTTTGTTTTGAGTAGGAATGGAAAATAAATTTTGTTTAGTTTCCCAATTGTACCCCTATTAAAATAAAATAAAAAACCAATTATTGTTGGATAAAAACTGTAATTATGAATTGTTAGTAAGGACAAATTAGTCAAAAAAAAGTTAGTCTTACTTTCCCATGGGAAGGGAAAGTGAAACCCAAGTAGGAAGGAAGGATTCACTTTCCCTCCTATTTTCCCATGTCCTAGGCAACGCTTTCCCATGCTTGACTTACCAAACATGGGAAAGCAATTGGTTTCCCATCCCCAAGATTCCTTTCCCATGAACCAAACGCAGCCTAAAAACATTGCTTTGGGAATTTCAGCATCTTGGTATGTGAGAATACTTTTTGGTTTTTTCCCAAACATAGCCTTGACAAAAGTATCAAGTAACCAAATGAACGTCTTAGCTGTTTCATCATACAATAATGCAACACCAAATATTATAGTTTGCTTATAATTGTTTACGCCAACAAACATTGCAAAAGGTCTTCTTTCATTATTTTTCCTATAAGTGGTATCAAAACATACTACATCACCAAAATAAATTTAATCCACCATCATCTTTGCATCAATCCAAAAGATATTAGTAAAAAAAATCAGCTTGATACTACATACAGCTTGTTTACTGTGAAATTCTATAGTTGCTTTTGGAGCAATTCCTAAACCATCAGCCATAT